TTAGGTGGAGACCTATAGGAAAAGTTTGGAACTGAGTTTCAATGTATTCTATAATCTGAAAATAGTTATGAGGAGTGTCCAATGCTTTGTCTTGCTGAGGTTGAAGGACTGCATAGCAGTGCTGAGATGAGGGTGGCCAAGGTTCCTGTTGGAGCAGTGATGTGCCGTTCTTTAGTTGTGATAGGGTACCGTGCAGGCATGAGGGCAGCTCGATGATAGCGAACATGCCAGAGATAGGATCGGGTCGATGAGCAGTAATGCTGTGGTATTATTGCAGTTGGACTAGAACAAAGTGCCTTCCTTACTCCATAGTAGGGCCATGAGATGAAGTGGTTTTGTGTTTCTGTAAGGGATCCTGTGTCTGTAGCCCTCTAGCTAAATGTAGCAGATCCACTTGCCTACTTGGAGAGTTTTAGAAAATGCAAATAAAGGCTAGTTAACGTTACTCTCACCATAGCTGACTGCCAAGATCAGAACCCTCTTTAATATCAATAAGCACTCAACATGATCGTTTTAATGTGGATATTTTATTTAAATAATGGTGGGTGTAATAACTAGAGAACGGTGAAACAACAGAGGATATAGAGTGTGTATGTCTGTATGAAAGGAGGAAACAGTTGTTTGAAGTTCTGTTACACACAAGAAGCTACAGGTTACACACCTGAGGGTCAATGAGGTGATTTGAAGACTTAAGCAATTCTGGCTGTTTAATGCTACATTATACTTTGAGTTCCATTTAAATCTCTGTAGCTGTCTTGTGGACTTAATATTTCTGAGGATAGAGAGTTTTATTCTGAGCAGTTTTGTTGGGTATACAAGTAGGAGGGAGAAAACAGATAATTTGTTCAAAATGGAAAGTAGAGATTTTTGCCAAAGGGTGAAAAATGGTGTATGTTAATTTTACTCACAGAAGTGTTAATTTTATCTCATTAATTTTGCTTTTGTGTGCATTTCATTTTTGAAAGTCACCCATACATAAATTTTTCGGTCGTAGAGAACACAGGTAGGGAAAATAGACCTTTCTCTACATCACTAGGTGCCACCTTCCAGTGTCTTGATGTGTGTATCCTGAGGTCACTTAACATTTACATTTATGATTACTGTAGACTTTTTTGTCATAAGGTCTGAACACATTCTATTTTTGTCATAAATGCCAAGAATGAATTTTAAGTGTTGTATTTTGTCTCAGTTATGTCTAAATTTATTTCTAAAATATTTTAAAGTAAATTTGTAGTTAATTCATCAAAGGATAGTATTGTAAAATTTAGCATGAGCTCTAAGAGGCCTTTTACCAATTATGGAGGATACAGCCTTCCCTGGTGGTTTGGGGTTTCAGGTACCTGGAATGCACACTACTCTGGGGCTGTCAGTGCTCTTTGTCTGCTGTGGGAACAGACTCAGACTTAAACCCTGAATGTTTCACTTTGGAACTGGAGCTACAGGTGGCTGTGAGTCACCTGGTGGGTGCTGGGAATTGAACCCTGCTCCTCTAGAAGAGCAGCCAGTGCTCTTAACTGCTGAGCCATCTCTCCAGCCTCAAGTTCTTTGCTTTTTAATTGACCAGTTGCTTTCCATATGTTTTTAGATTGGACATCCATTTTCACTCATAAAGGCTTTTTGAAAAACTAGGAGAGGAAACCTCTAATTAAGTTATAAGGCAGAACAGGCTAGCAACTTAGCTTAGATTTCAGAGATATTTTAATTAGCCTCTAAAATATTTTTTCTTATACCATAGAACTTTAAAGATTCTAAAGAGAAAGGAAAGGAAACTTGATGTTTTCTTAATTTAAATTTGCTGGTTTGTTTGGGGAGCTCTTTCTCGAAATTGGAATTCAAAGCCACTGTATAAATTGTTTTTTTTCCCCCCTGTTTTTAGAAAAATTAAAAGCAAAGATAAGATTGTTGCTGTGTCCATCAGCCTGTGTGGAAGTGGGGCAGCCTGAAGTGCCACCCAGGCTCTACAGCAGCCCCCTGGTAGGAGCAGGGTCTCATCAGGAGTTTACACAGCAGAACTGAGGCTGCTGGAGGGTTTCTTCCCGTTGTTCTGTTGGAATCGAGTTCAGAGTCCTGTTTAATACACAGAACAACTTAAAACCGTGAAGGTTGTATTTTTATTATTTGCCTCAGTGTTGACAGACAGCTCTTTTTAAACTTAGCTGTAGAAAGAAGGTGTGATTGTGCCAAAGTAACTTAGCAATGTTTTACTCTCAGGGAAATTTTGGAGTTCTTTTAAGGGAAAAATCTGAGAAATGTGTAGCATGTTACTTTCATTTCTATGAAATGGAAAACGGCCCAGACTCTTATCATTGTCAAGCTGCTAGGTAGACTGACAGGACCTCTTCCCTGGTGACTACTTGTCAACTTGTCATGGCCACTTTTGACCTTGTTACCAGGGCCAGAGTGTGATGCTTGGTGACCTTTCCAGCAGCCCTTCTGGGTACAGTGTCTCAGACAGTGGTCTCCATCAGTCCTGCCATCTCAGTTTCCTGATTCTCCCTTGAGTAGCTTTTGGTGGCCTGCAGGCACACAGCTCCTGCAGTGGCTGGGATTCTTGGTGGAGAGAGAACTTAGCTTCGAGTGTTCCCATATGCACTGGAGAGCACTGAACCACCTTCAGTGGTTGGTACTTTGTCTCCTCCTGCCCCTACTGCCTCACATAACTCTGGCTCTTTGAGGTGTCAACACCGCCATTACCTCTTTATTCTTTGACCTCATTAACACAATCAAAAGGGGCTTTAGCTTTTAAAAATCTTACTGGAGCATGTACTTTGTGTTTTTTCCCAGTTAAACCTTTTATCTGGTTTTTGGAACCTAAGCTTGTATCTCAGCCATATCCTGAGTGCTCATCAGTCCATAGCCAGCTTTTCCTTACAAAAATGTGGGAAAAAAAGGTATAATGAACTTAAGAGCTGTAATGAATCGCTCACACTTTGCCTGAGATATAGAAGGAGTCATTATGTCTCATTTTTAAGAGTGAAATTAGGACTTGGAAAATGTCATTGACAGGCCTCCTGGAACACAGGATGAAGGAGAGAATTGGTGGGAGTTGAAGTTCCAGATTGGGTACTGACTTGTGATGTGACTTGTGATGTGTTGGGACTTGAGGCAGTCCATATAATAATGTAAAGTTTAGAGCTGGGCAGTCTTCCGAGTTCTCCTGTTCCAGGGTGTTATGGTGGTTCTCACCTTTTTTTTTTTTTTTTTTTTGGTTTTTCGAGACAGGGTTTCTCTGTAGTTTTGTGCCTTTCCTGGAACTCACTTTGTAGACCAGGCTGGCCTCGAACTCACAGAGATCCTCCTGCCTCTGCCTCCCGAGTGCTGGGATTAAAGGCATGCGCCACCACCGCCCGGCTGGTTCTCATCTTTTTGCTACAAGCAGCTCAGCTTCTCCCATGCCCATCTCCCGTGGCGTGTTCACTGAGCCTCTGTTCCCCTCATCCTAGCTCTGGGTGTTTGTTGGAGTCTTTCTGCAGCCTGTTGTGAAAGCAGTGTTCCAGTCTTCCGATTTCCTCAGGGGCAGAAGAAAGGAGGACAGAAGGGGCAGGGGAGGGGGTGGAGATTCTGGATGGTAATGCTATGAGACCGGGAAGAGGAACCCTAAGGATGGAAGATCGTGTTACCCTACTATCTTCAGAAGGAGAGCACAAGACAAATGAAGAAATGCTGAACTTGAAAATATGATGTTAGTGATAACCATGGGAAATGGATTTTGTTGGAGTGGTAGGGACAGAAGTTGCTGAGAGGCTGGGCTGGCTGAATGGTAAGGACTAGAGGCAGCAGACAGCCCAGTTTGATGGCCTCTCTTGATACTGTTCAGGGCCGCTCAGACCTTCAGTGACCTTTCATGGCAAAGTGTAGAGTCTCAGGGGCAGTCCTGACTGTCTAAATTAGAGTCACTGTGTATCCGAGGATGGTGTGAAAGATCCATGGGCCTGGCTTCTGTGCTGCCTTAATTCTGTTGATACTGAAGAGATGGCTAGCTCCCCAGTGAGGAGGCAGCACACAGGGAGAGTTCCATGTAGCTCTAAATTTAGTTCATGTAAATCACTATATGCACGAACTTCACTGTTTTGCTGAATTTTTAATGTTGCTTGATTAGACCTGGAATTTTCTTTGCTGCCTGAACATTTTTAAGTGAAACATTATTCTGTAGAGTTTCTTGTTGTTTGTCTAGTTTATTTGACTAGTAGAACATAGTCCAGATCTGGGTTAAATTATTCATGTGCTGCCTTAAGCAATTTTGATTTTGTAACTCCCACTCTGGGTACTAGCAGTGTAAGGCTGTCTGTTGTCTAAAAGAAAGCAGCCATTACAGCTGCTGAGTGTCTTTATATGGCAGCTGTTTGACTAGAAAGGCCTGTTTCCTTGGTGAATCATGTTTGTTGAGAGCAGAGTTCTGTGTGGTTGACTGATAGTTTGTGACGTAAGGTAAAATGAAAATGAAAGAGTGCTTCCTTCCACCTTGACTGCTGTCCTTATGCTGAGTGTGTAGGAGCTTCTTCATCTATCAGGCTAGCAATGGATGCCAAGAATGGAGTGTGCTGACTGAGCCCTCCCTGAGCTTAGCAGGTGGCAGCCAGAGAAAGAGCACTTTGAGTAGTGCTGTCGTCACTGATTCTGGCTCCTGAATCTAATCCCATCTCTGATCTGTGGGGGTCTCTATGAAATTGGAGGCATGGGTTGGTACTGTGAGGTCTAGAGGAATGGCCCATAGTGGTGTGGCATGGTGTCATATAACATAGGCATGGTAAGGGCCTGACAGTAAGCCTAATACATTGATCCTAACTGCAGCAACTAAGGACATAGAAATGGCTTTTTGCGGGGTGGTGGTGGTGTATGAGAGTCTTGATATAGTAGATAATTGCTCTTTGCCTTCTTTTCTTCGTCTTTATGTGCACATTCCTTCCCCTCAACACATCAGGTGTTGTCCCTCATGCTATTCTTGTGGTCATTTCCATTTTGCTTTCCTCATGTTTCATTCCTGTATCTTTCTTGTCTAGACCAAGTGGAGCAGCCAGCTGGCAGTAGCGCCATGTAGGACCCTGCAGAACCCCTGGTAAGTGCACTTGTGTACTTGCCAGCCACCCAGTGGTTCCTCTTGCTTCAAAGATAGAAGCTACAAGTCCTCTGTTCCCTTGAGGAAAGTTCTGATAGGTTATTTCGTTTTCTCTTGTAATCTCTTCTAACGTAGCAGACAGAAATCAAGTACCTGGAAAGAACTTTCCTGATTAAGGAAATGTGGAAGATCCCCATCTGTCCAACAGTATTGGTTTTGTATTGACAAGTGGGAGCAGAATTTGTTTTCTGTCATAGATGTACTTGTTCCTCAGGGGTCAAAGCTTTCAGTTTCTCCCACAAAATTGCACTCTAATGGGACAGGCATGTAGCTTTTTTGGTAGCCCCTTCATCTCTAGTCAGAGGGCCTCAGGAGAAGTCTCTTGATAAATGGTTCTGATTGAGAAAATTTAGATGTATCAGTCTTAGCTCCATGAACAAATAATAGTCTTACTAGATTCCTGTTGCCACATAATCCATTGTTGTTCACTAAGTTACCTTGGTGGTATCATTTCTTCATCTATAGAATTGTTGTATTAGTGTTATTCTAAGAACTTACCATAATTTTTAATAAATATATAGGCCACAGATTTCCTGTACGTCTGTTGTGACCTCAAATCTAATACATTGGTATAGTCTAGAGCTCTGACATTTGAGATCTCCCCACAGAGAACAAGGGAGATTTCACTGTGTTCTGAGATTTAGGTTGTCACATTGGGAAAGGGGGCATTGTTCCTGGATCTTGTGGGTAGAGCACCCCTGCCCACTACATGATGCAATGAAATATATTGTGGTGAATCATCAGCCTTCACAACAGAATTGTGGGACTGGGAGTGTCATTTGTGCTATGCTTTAGAAGCCAGGCTAACTGTTCTGTTTGTGCCTGTGGTGTGCTCTTGTTTATCCTCAGAAGAAGATACAGGAGTTGCTCATCCTGATGTGGTCTGTCCTCACAATGGATTGCATTTCCATGGCTGTGGCTTTGCTGTAAATACCTGCAGAAAACAGGGACTAGAAAACAAACTAATTTGTTGATTAGGAGCCCAGAAAGGGACATATGGTGTGAACTAGCTGTTGTAGTGGTGTTTTGTTTTGTTTTTTTAAGGCAAGGAATACAATGTAAATAGTGTTTGTCTTTCACATACTTTTAAGCAGCTACATTTGGAGTATATCACACTGCATGTTTTATTATAATCGAATATTTAATGTTTTGTTTCCATTTGCCTGGTATGCTTCATGTTGCTACTTGGGCATGGTACAGCACTTGGGTTGTAGAAAATCTTTGAATTGCCTTGGCAAGGTATCATGGTCAACAGATTGACACCTGTTTTTCTAGAAACTCTTACAATATGCCTTTATTTCTAATGTATCTGATGATTATTGCAGAGGCCATGTTTAGATTACTGTTCTCTATTTGAAGACCTGTAGACAGTTAAGTAAAGGGTCCTATTTCTTGGCCTGCTTGAGGACATGGGGTAGTACTGACGGTGCTTAGAAAAACATGTGGTTTTGATTTAGGAACCACATCTCTGTATCTGACTTTTGAGTGCAGAGTCTGGAGGTTTTGCTGCTGGCCTTGTGATGCTGGAGCAGTTCCACTGCACCATAGCGTCAGATTGTCATTTGTGCATGCGTGCATGTGCGTGGCATGCATTTTGTTTGCAGTTACTAATCTCATTCAGACTGAACATCACACACAGGAAGGACATAGACACCGAAGGTGAGGGACTGTTGAAAGGGAAAAGGATCCAGATTCTGTTCCACACAGATCCTTCAAGAGTCTTTGTCAGCAGTTAACAGGGTTAGATTAAGCAGTGTAAAGTCAATACAGGGGAGTCCAAAGAGCCTCCCTCACTCTGTGGAAGGTGCCTGTGTGTTCCCTAGACTAGCACTGTAAGGGCAAGACAGGGGAGTCTTGAGGGGCCTCCTTCTGTGGAAGGTGCCTATGTGTCTGACTCCTGTGGTGCCGATTAGTATGATTCTTCACCTGGAGATGGAATCAACCATTGCCATGATCCTCTCTGCCCTGTGACTTCTAGCCATACCCGAGTGGAGGTGCTTCTGATCATGTGTGCTTGTGTTCCAAGCCTCTTTAACTGCAGGTGGAAAAGAACACGTGGGCATACTGTCAGGAGTTTCTAACCGTATAGTTGTAAGAACAGCCCCTCTGCCCCCCAATTTAAAAAGACAAAAACTAGGGCTGGAGAGATGGCTCCAAAACCAAAAATTAAGCATGATTCCTTACTGGCTAAAGATCTGGGCACTTAAAATGATATTTTAGGATTGTCCTTTTGAAGACTGACAAATTAAATGACTTGTTTTGCGTAGTTTGTTTTCTTGTTATAGCTGTTAAAATTTTATCAAAATATTTTTAGTTAGTATTTTATATTATAGCTGATTTCTGTACTTTTAATCTAATGATCTTTTCAGTTATGCCATTTTGAGTTTTTGACATTAGTTTTCATCAGTTGTCTTTATTCTTCCTATGATTGTCTGAGACTATCAGAATGTGATTTCTCTCTTCCGGAGTGATGAGTGGTTTCTTGTCTGTCTTTTTTTTTTTTTTTTCTTTTGGAGACAAGGTTTCTCCGTGTAGTTTTGGTGCCTGTCCTGGATCTCTCTGTAGACCAGGCTAGCCTCAACTCACAGAGATCCACCTGGCTCTGCCTCCTGAGTGCTGCGATTAAAGGTGTGTGCCACGCGCGCGCGCGCCCCCCCCCCCCCCCCCCCCCCCCCCCGCCCCGCCCCGCTCTTGTCTGTCTTTAGCTGAGGTGAACATAAAGGTGGTAGAAGGCTTGTTTAGGAAAAGCAGGGAAACATGGGGGTTTTTGGGATGGGGTAGGGAGGGGTGGGGAGGGGAAGGGAAGGGAGAGGAAGGGTTGAGAGGGGCGGGGTAGGTAGGAGGACAGTGCCAGAAGAGAAGGGAGTGTTTGGTAAGGGACTTGAGACTCACCTGGATCTCATGGCCAGTTTGGGGTCAGTCCTTCAGGACCAGACCTGCAGTGTACTCTGCTGTGTTCCTTTGGGGATTCAGTTCATTGCTGTAGCTTCTCAGGAGATGTCATGTTTGAATCTATTTTTATAGAAATAATATATATAAGGAAATATGTTTGAGCCATATTTATCCTTCATAATGCAGTACAATGCAATGTCTACTACTGTGTGTGTGTGTGTGTGTGTGTGTGTGTGTGTGTGTGTGTGTGTGTGTGTGTGTGTGGTTTTTTGAGACAGTCTTTCTCTGTGTAGCTTTGCTCCTTTCCTGGAACTCACTTGGTAGCCCAGGCTGGCTTCGAACTCACAGAGATCCACCTGCCTCTGCCTCCCAAGTGCTGGGATTAAAGGCGTGCACCACCACTGCCCGGCCTACAATGTCTACTTCTAAAGTAGAAGTTGCAGTTAGGGATTATCCTAGCTTAACCAATAGGTTATCTTAATAAAAAGGTTCTAAGTTATACCTTATTGTTTCTCTCTAATATGCCTTTGCCTATATTATATGATTTCAAACTTTGGTGATTCTGAAGTTTCTTTTGTATCATTATTTTTGTTGTTGTGTTTGAGACAGGGACAGGGTTTCTCTGTGTAGCCCCGCTGTCCTGGAACTTGCTCTGTAGACCAGGCTGACCTTGAAATCAGAGGTCTGCCTGCCTCTGCTTCCCAACTACTGGGATTAAAGGTGTTCCCCCGGGCGGCCCCCCCCCCCACCCCCCCTTACTAAATTTTTGAGAATGCATTGTTCATTAATTGAATAGCTGTTACAGCTGTGACACTGAGGACTAAGCATCTAAAAGTGTAGGACTTAGGAATTTCTTTTTTTCTCTGACAGATTTGATGGTATTTACAGTCAGTCATCCATTCCTTTCTTTAGAAATCCAAAATGATAAAATTGCCTACAAATACAGTTTACTTTGCTTCGGTTAATAATTATCTCTAAGATCAGAGTGATGTGAATGAATGAGTAAATAAATACATGCTGTCTTTCAGGAAAGAAGAAATCCCAAGAGAATAAAAACAAAGGCATCAGAACCCAGGCCACACAGCTGAAGGCAAGTGAGCCCGACCCTACCTTTGCAAACATGAGAGGCTCTGCAGAAGGTAAGTGATGAGATCTTGGTGATCTAGGTATGTGTTTTTACTTCATCCATTCTTTTGTCTTCTGGCTTGCCCACCTGAGAAGTGGCCAAGAACTAGAGAGGGCTCAAATAGCAAGAAAGCCGTCTTGAGTTTAGTGTAGAAACTGAACTTTCCACACCCCACCTCTTCCATATTTGGGACTCTTATGTGTCTTCTCAGTTTGATACAGGCAAATTCACATAGAGACAGGAGCTTGCCCAAGAGTTGTTCATTGTAACATAGACAAGCAGATTTCAGAATACAGGCTTGTGACTCGTGCAAGAAACATTTGTGTGTGGGGAAGGGGTAGGTATTGGGGCTATCAATATCTTGAATGCCTTTTATGGTCACTTATTTGCCCTGTTGGTGATGACAACGCTCAAAAGAATCACAATTTTTATGCCCTCTTGTGACTCAGGAAAGGATGGGTTCATTGTGTACATGGCCTTCAGGGTGACCGAGGGAATCAGGTAGGAGGTCAGTGTGATTTTTAAACAGAAGGAATTAACTGGAAGGAAGGGAGCTTCCCTCCATCCCGAAACCTCCCTTTGTGCTTTACACAGTGGGGGAAGTGAGATGAGTTCAATATAACGTTTGCCTCCTGAGAGCAAACTTTGCTAAGACGTTTGTTTGAACAATACAAAAATTGCTAAAGAATTTTTATTTAAAAGTAGAGTTTGAAAATGTAAGAGGTCCCTTTAGTAAGTCAAGAGTTATTGTTCCCTGCTGAGCCATTAAACCATGAAAGAGACACTTGATGCTGAGGCCCAGTGTTTGGTACTGCTGGTCAGTCTGAGGGTCACTCTGCCTAGTGTAGCTGCTGACCCAAGGTCTTCCAGCCCTTATGTTTGAAAGCCCAAGAAGACAGAAAGCATTAGGAATGTTGAGAACCACTGCTTTAGATAGTGTCAAACCAGATTGATCATCAATTGTAGACCCTTTTAAAAACTAAGGAAACCACAGATTATCACAGAAAACAAATTCTAGAAAGACCTTTTTGAGCCATGGAAATAGATTCCTGTTGTCCCATGTTGACTTTGGTCCAGTGTTCTGGGTGCTTGTTAAAAATATCTGAGAGCTCATTTAAAATGTGTTACTAACATTATTGATGGCTCTTCCGGCTTGTTGAGAGCACACGGAAAATAGGAAATGTGTCTAAGGGAGAGAAGGCTGATTTCTATTTAGAAACAGGAGCCTATTGCTAAGGAGGTAGCAGCAGATGGGAGAAGTAGGACCTCTGTTTCTAGGACATAGCAAGAGGGCTGATGCCTACGTGGTTAAGTGAACTTTTGTTCTTACCTTTGTATTTGCAGAGCTTGTAGCATTTGGGCACTCTTTAGCATTTCCTTTCGCCAGTGGTCCCTGTCTGTGGACAGCCTGCTGTATCCCGACAGTTGGACCGCTCTTTCCTGCCTCTGTCATAGCCTATTGTCCAACAGCACCATTCCTGCCTTGGTCTCAGCATTCAGGAAAGTCTTTTTCTCAGTTTCTTCATCCATCCCATAGTTGAGTATCCCAGATGATTCTGCATCCAGATGCTTTCTGTCCCTCATTTTGATTGCCCTCTGTTGCTCTTCCCTCTCCATCCTTGATCCTTATGAACTTTGGGTTTAGCCTGCATAGCATACTTCACACCACGTATGGCCATTAGTTTATTACAGGATAGTTGCTTGCTTGCTGTGTGTGGCTTCTGCCAGAGGAAAACTTGTACTTGGTAATGATTTTATCCTGCTGTAAACTTGGGATGTGTGTAGGAGGTAGGGCTAAGGGTCCTGACAGTCTGGTGTGACTCATGCTGTCTATTGTGCGTGCTCCATGGGGATCTGTCAGGAAACTTGAAGAGTTGGCCAGTTTACTTGGTGTAGAGAAATTGTAGCTCTGCCTCTTTTGCAGAGTTTTCTGAATTCTGAGGGTGACTATGGGAGAGGGGCTGAATTCAATAGCATAGCAGTTGGTCCTTCTTATTGGGCAGGTGACATTGTGGACCACCCTACCAGCATTCATCCTGCATCTTCCTCTTAGCTCTGATCTGGAAGAGTCTTCTGTTCTCTTCCATCCACAAGTCCTATATTTATAGAGAACCTTGAAAGAGCTCCCAACATTCCTTCCTTTCCCTTCCCTTTGAGAATTTGTCCTCACTGTTCTGTTGTGGCTGTTGTCTTGGTCACCAGACCTCCCTGTTGGCAAATGGAGCATACCCCAGTTTTAGTCCTTTATTTACCCAGCATCCTGCAGCTCTGGACTGAGCAGACCACTCCTTCCTTGTGACTTGTTTCTTGACCTAAAGGTCATTCCTCACTCTCAGTCCTAGTTTGTGTTCTGTTGCCGTGATAAAACAATGACCAGAAAGCACCTTAGGGGAAGAAACAGTTGATTTGGCTTATGGGTTATGGCCCATTAATGAGGGAAGCCGAGGCAGGAACTGAAGCAGAGACCATGGAGGAACACTGCTTATTAGATTGCTTCAAGGCTCAAATTCAGCTACATTGTTTTATTCAACCTGGGATTACATGCCCAGGGCTTGCCCTGCCCACAGTAGACTGGCCCCTCCACCATCAACCATCAATCAAGAAAATGCCCCACAGACATGCCTATAGGCTAATATACTGGAGGCACTTCCCCGTTGATGTTCCTTTTTTCTAGGTAGGTCAAGCTCACAGAGACATTAGCCATAACACCCTCTCAGTGTCTGGGATATAGTCCTTCCTTGCCTGTCCACTTTCTAGGTAGTCTAAAGTTCATTGCTCATTAAACTCTCTCCCCTGAGGACTTGGGTATAGGCAGGTGTCCCAGCCTCTGTGTTGACCTCAAGATTCTTATGAAATTCTACTTAATATCTTCAGTGGGACAACTATATTACCATACCCTAAACTTTAGTTCATCCTAAGTATGCTCATGATTTCTCTCTGTCACATGTCTACACGTGTACATAGATATCCCTGCTCTTCCTGTAGTCACTGTGGGTTGGTAAGCCGGATTATTGCAGTTTCCTGCAGTCTTCTGGCTTCTCATTACAGCCAGTTAATAAGCACATTTTTGTCAGCTTCATTTTCCAAATACAAGTACCCAGGGTCTGATTACTTCCACCCCCTTCCCCATCCTACTACCTGCATGTCACCGTCCTGCACCTCTCCTAGAGCAATGAGCTCTTCTTACCACCTCCCTCCCTTACCCACCTAGGTTTTCCATTTTCCTTCCAGTGAGCAACCTGATTGATTCTCTTTAAAGTGGAGCCATATAACTTCTCTGTTAGAACCACCTCCCTGTTGACTCAGGGTGATGGCTAGCTTCTCATGGTATCTAGGTCCTGGGTTACCTCTAATCTCATCTCCTGGCCTTTTCCCAACCCTCTCTTACAGCCTTTCCAATCTTGAACCTGCTTAGTGCCATCTTGACTTAGAACTCATGTATTTGCTGCTTTCTCTGCCCAGGGCATTCTGTCCACCAGGCGATTGCGTGGCTTATTTTCTTTATGTCTCTGCTCAGCTGTGGCTTCATTAGCAAGCCCTCCTCTGGACTGTCGACTTTAGGTGTGAATAAGCATATAGTGTCACAAGTAATTGGAGATTGCTGTTTTCTTCAGTGAAGTGTTCCTGATTCATAACAGTTAGATTAGGCTTCTAAGTGATAGAAAGTTTCTTTGACTTGAAGAACTGATTATATCAGAATGAGTTCTGGTTTCATCCTTTAGGTACACTGTCAAGAATCTAATCTGATAGGTTCAGCAAGTCCTTTGAATCATGAGAAATTGGAATTTACAACTAGTCTCCTTACAGTTAATACTGACTGTTCGAACACCATTGTAGGCACTATGGTTTTTGTAAACAAAAAGCTCAGTACCCTGTGGATCTGCTTGTCCTGAAGTGTCCGGAGTGTTCCCCGGTGCTAAGCAGTCCCTTTCATTTGTTAAGTCAGTGGAAGGTATTGCACCAGCTACCTCTATAAATGGAGTGTTCTTGCTCATATATCTTACTGTCTTCTGGCAGTGAAGTCATAGGAGTTGATCACACATAGCCAGTGTGTCCTTACCTCTGTGCTTCTGCTCCTCTGTGCCCCTAGGTCCTAAGGAAGAGGACAAGAGGCCTTTGGCTTCCGCACCTGAGCAGCCAGCCCTTCTTCCTGAGGTGATCAGCCAGGATGCAGTTCCACAGGTGGTCATACCTCTCCCTGCCTGCGAGCCACAGCCAGAGCCAGATGGGAAACAAGAAGTCACAGACTGTGAGACCAATGATCTGGAGGAAGAGGAAGAAGAGGAGGAGTTGGAAGAGGAGGAGGAGTTGGAAGAGGAGGAGGAGTTGGAAGAAGATGGGGAGGAAGAAGCTGACATGCTGAATGAAAGCTCTGTGAAAGAGCCAGAAATACGATGTGAAGAAAAGCCAGAGGATTTATTAGAAGAACCACAGAGCATTTCAAATGAAACTTCTGAAGACTCTCCAGACATGGCCCCTCTTCTCCACATCTCTAGAACTAGAGAGGAGGCCGACGGTGATGCGTTTGAAACATTTATGTTTCCATGTCAGCATTGTGAAAGAAAATTTGCAACCAAGCAGGGCCTTGAACGTCACATGCATATCCACATGTCTACAATCAATCATGCTTTCAAGTGCAAGTACTGTGGGAAAGCGTTTGGCACACAGATTAACAGAAGACGGCATGAACGTCGCCATGAAGCGGGGTTAAAGAGGAGACCTAGCATGACACTACAGCCCTCAGAGGACCTAGATGATGGCAAGGGGGAAAATGTCACTTCTAAAAATGAGTCAAGTCCACCTCAACTTGGACAAGACTGTCTGATATTGAACTCAGAGAAAGCCTCCCAGGAAATAATAAATTCATCTTTTGTGGAAGAGAACGGCGAAGTTAAAGAACTTCATCCCTGCAAATATTGCAAAAAGGTATTTGGAACTCACACCAATATGAGACGACATCAGCGCAGGGTTCATGAACGCCATCTGATTCCCAAAGGTGTCCGTCGAAAAGGAGGACTCCTGGAAGAGCCACAGCCACCAGCAGAGCAGGCCCCACCTTCCCAGAATGTCTATGTACCAAGCACAGAGCCAGAGGAGGAGGGGGACGCTGACGATGTCTACATCATGGACATTTCAAGCAACATCTCTGAAAACCTAAATTACTATATTGATGGTAAGATTCAGACCAACAACAGCACTAGTAATTGTGATGTGATTGAGATGGAGTCTAATTCTGCACACTTATATGGCATAGATTGTCTGCTTGCCCCAGTAACAGTGGAAATTACTCAAAATATAAAGAGCACCCAGGTCTCTGTAACAGATGATCTTCCCAAAGACTCTCCCAGTAGCACAAATTGTGAGTCTAAGAAACGGAGAACTGCCAGTCCACCTGTGCTCCCCAAAATTAAAGCTGAAGCAGATTCTGACTCCACAGCGCCCTCATGTTCCTTAAGTTTGCCTCTGAGCATGTCCACAACAGAGGTAGTGTCTTTCCATAAAGAGAAGGGTGTCTATTTATCTTCAAAGCTCAAGCAGCTTCTTCAGACCCAGGACAAACTGACTCCTCCTGCAGGAATTTCAGCGGCTGAGATTCCGAAGTTAGGTCCCGTGTGCGTTTCCGCTCCTGCGTCTATGTTACCAGTGACCTCTAGTAGGTTTAAGAGGCGCACCAGCTCTCCACCCAGTTCTCCACAGCACAGCCCTGCCCTTCGAGACTTTGGGAAACCAAGTGATGGGAAAGCAGCATGGACAGATACAGTTCTGACTTCCAAGAAACCCAAATTAGAAAATCATAGTGACTCTCCAGCATGGAGTTTGTCTGGGAGAGATGAGAGAGAAACTGGAAGCCCTCCTTGCTTTGATGAATACAAAATAACAAAAGAATGGGCAGCCAATTCTACTTTCAGCAGTGTGTGCAACCAACAGCCATTGGATTTATCCAGCGGGGTCAAACAGAAGTCCGAGGGCACAGGCAAGACTCCAGTGCCATGGGAATCTGTATTGGATCTCAGTGTGCATAAAAAGCCTTGTGATACTGAAGGCAAGGAATTCAAAGAGAACCATTCAGCACAGCCAGGCTGTGGTGCTGCAAAGAAGAAGAAACCAACCACCTGCATGCTACAAAAGGTTCTTCTCAATGAGTATAATGGTGTTAGCTTACCTACAGAAACCACACCAGAGGTGACCAGAAGCCCAAGTCCTTGTAAATCCCTAGATACACAGCCAGATCCTGAACTTGGTCCTGATTTGAGTTCCTCAGCCCACACTGTTGAGTCCCCACCAGAAGTTGTTGGTCCTTCATCACCCTCTCTACAGACAGCCTCCCTGTCTTCGGGTCAGCTGCCTCCTCTCTTGATCCCCACAGAGCCTTCTTCCCCTCCCCCGTGCCCTCCTGTGTTGACGGTTGCCACTCCACCGCCTCCCCTCCTTCCAACTGTCCCTCTCCCCACTCCCTCTTCAGATGCGTCTCCTCAGCAGTGCCCCTCTCCATTCTCACAGGCCACTGCCCAGTCTCCTCTCCCAGTTCTCTCCCCGACAGTGTCCCCTTCACCCTCGCCCATTCCTCCTGTGGAGCCCCTCATGTCTGCTGCGTCCCCTGGTCCTCCGACACTTTCCTCCTCCTCCTCCTCCTCCCCCTCTTCCTTCTCTTCCTCTTCATGCTCCTCCACATCCCCCTCACCTCCTCCTCTCTCAGCAGTGTCCTCTGTGCTTTCCTCTGGTGACAACCTGGAAGCATCTCTCCCTGCAATAACTTTCAAACAGGAGGAGTCAGAGAGTGAAGGTCTGAAACCCAAGGAAGAGGCCCCACCTGCAGGTGGACAGAGTGTTGTCCAAGAAACCTTCAGCAAAAACTTTGTTTGCAATGTCTGTGAATCACCTTTTCTTTCCATTAAAGATCTAACCAAACATTTATCTGTTCATGCTGAAGAATGGCCCTTCAAATGTGAGTTTTGTGTGCAGCTTTTTAAGGGTAAGACTGACCTGTCACAGCATCGATTTCTGCTTCACGGAGTTGGGAATATCTTTGTGTGCTCTGTGTGTAAGAAAGAGTTTGCCTTCTTGTGCAATTTACAGCAGCACCAGCGAGATCTCCACCCAGATGAGGTGTGCACACATCACGAGTTTGAAAGTGGGACCCTGAGGCCCCAGAACTTCACAGACCCCAGCAAGGCCCATGTGGAGCATATGCAGAGTTTGCCAGAAGAGCCTTTGGAAACTTCTAGAGAGGAGGAGTTAAATGATTCCTCTGAAGAGCTTTACACGACCATCAAAATAATGGCTTCTGGAATAAAGACGAAAGATCCAGATGTCCGACTTGGTCTCAATCAGCACTACCCGAGCTTTAAACCACCTCCATTTCAATACCACCATCGAAACCCCATGGGTATTGGCGTAACGGCCACAAACTTCACTACCCACAATATTCCACAGACTTTCACCACTGCCATTCGCTGCACCAAGTGTGGAAAGGGTGTTGATAATATGCCTGAGCTGCACAAACATATCTTGGCATGTGCATCTGCAAGTGACAAGAAGAGGTACACCCCTAAGAAAAACCCAGTGCCCCTGAAACAAACTGTGCAACCCAAGAACGGAGTGGTGGTTTTAGACAACTCTGGGAAAAACGCCTTCAGACGGATGGGGCAGCCCAAGAGACTGAGCTTCAATGTTGAACTCAGCAAAGTGTCTCCCAATAAGCTCAAGCTAAGTGCACTGAAGAAGAAAAATCAGCTGGTCCAGAAAGCGATCCTTCAGAAGAACAGATCTGCAAAGCAGAAGACAGACCTGAAGGACACTTCTGAGATATCCTCGCACATTTGCCCTTACTGTGACAGGGAGTTCACATACATCGGCAGCCTGAATAAGCACGCCGCTTTCAGCTGTCCTAAAAAACCCCTTTCTCCTTCCAAAAGAAAAGTTTCCCATTCATCTAAGAAAGGTGGCCACGCATCACCTGCCAGCAGTGACAGAAACAGCAGCAGCAATCCCCGGAGACGGACCGCAGACACGGAGATTAAGATGCAGAGCACGCAGGCGCCCTTAGGCAAGACCAGAGCTCGGAGCTCAGGCCCTGCCCAAGCCTCACTGCCCTCCTCATCCTTCAGATCCAGACAGAATGTCAAGTTTGCAGCTTCAGTCAAATCCAAAAAAGCAAGCTCTTCATCCTTGAGGAACTCCAGTCCTATAAGAATGGCCAAAATTACTCATGTTGAGGGCAAAAAATCCAAGGCTGTTGCCAAGAGTCATTGTGCTCAGCTCTCAAGCAAATCGTCCCGAAACCTGCATGTGAGAGTGCAGAAGAGCAAAGCTGTTGTACAAAGCAAGACTGCTGTGGCCAGTAAGAAAAGAACAGACCGCTTCATAGTGAAGTCTAGAGAGCGGAGTGGGGGCCCTATCACCAGAAGCCTTCAGCTGGCAGCTGCTGCAGACCTGAGTGAAAGCAGGAGAGAGGACAGCAGTGCCAGGCATGAGCTGAAGGACTTGAGGTAAGCCCTGAGCTCGGGGAGGTGAGGACCGCCAGGAGAGCTGTAGCCGGCCTGGAGGATGGTTTTGTTTCCCCCTCCTATAAAATGTTGACGTGAGCTTTTTAGCAAAGTGGCAGTTGCATAATTTGTAGCATACCCTTGCTGCTTTGGCTGCTGTACAGATGAATAAATACATTTTATTTCAGACTTAGTACTCACAAAGTGGTACCATTTCTTTAATTTCTGGATGGAGCTTGAACCCATTTCCCCATGTGAAAAGATGAGGTTCTCTTAATTCACATCTTGAGCAATGTTTCAGTGCCACTCATGTTGGTTCCTGGTCCTACATTCCTTAGGGTGAAGTGGGTCACAAGTCCATTAGCAACCACAGTGCACTCTTTTATAGTAGTTTGTGACTTAAGCATACTTACTAATGTCTAAGACTGTGTTTATTATTAATGCTTCCATTTGCTAGTGTTTGAATTTTAAAAATTTACCATGTTGCTTAAAAATAAAATACCATGTATCTTAAAAATGCCTTATATTCCCCCTCCAGCCCTCTGCTTACAGCCATAGTGTGATCAGCAGTCAAGGTTCCAATGGGCAAGAAGAGTGGAATAGGTACTGAGATTGCAGGGAGGCAGGGCCCTGTGGCCCTGAGGCTCAGTGCCTTCCCAGTAACATTAGATTTCATTTCATCTAAGTTGACCTTACTGCCTTATTCCATGTTCTCCTCACATTACAAATGGTTCTCAGGGACAGACAGGATGATGTTATGGCCCTAGTTCAATCTGTTACATTGATTTCTCAGGCTGAGTTGATATACACTTGGAATTCCCACATAATGTTCCCATGTCCCTAGTCAGTGGCCATCAGAAGGCATCTCCGCAAATACTTGGACACCTTGTATGCAGCCTGCTTTGATTCTGGACTGTCATGGCTATAATTCTGGGTGTTGGAAACAAAGAATGAGGGACAGCTGTGGAGTGACTTGTTTTGGAGAAGACCTAAGCATACAAAGATTCCAGTGTCACTGTATGACGATCAGGTAGAGTTCTTGGTGCTAGTGTGCCTTGAAGCATAGCAGAAGAAAGCTCTAGATAATGGGCACCAACAAAGGCTGATTTCAACGATTTACTGTAGCACTGAATGACTGGAATTTTTTAAAGGTACTTCAAAATGTGCTGAGTGTTAGTTGCTAGAGATCTGGTCATCTTTGGCCATACTGGTGCATAGGTGGCATTGTGAAGTTGGTTGTGGTGATAGAAAGCACTGTTTTCAGTCATCAGCACTCCCTGCTTGTTACTGGCCTCTGTTCTAGAGAGTTCTACACCAATGGAACATTATTGAACCATCATTTTTGTGGGTTACCATGCAGAACACCTCCAGGTGGTTGATGCTTTAGAATCTACTCTGTTCTAGTATTTTCTAAACGAATTTCCTTTCTTACTGGATCCTGTTTAGACTTTTCAAGGGTAAATGTATGAAAACATAAGAGCTGAGTGTGCATGTATAAGTTCACTTGTTTCACTCTTACCTGGTGTTGTAAAGACTCTTTAAGGCTAAAGTGCCCCAAAATATATTTCTCATCTTTGCTCCAGTAAATTTAAGCTATTTTGGTAGTTAACAGAGTTACATTGCTGGAGTTAAAGGTGGTCTGAAAAGAATCACTTAAAGGAACGGATAACGAAAACATGAGCAGTGTGTTCAGTAATAGACAGTGCAGTAGATGTCCCGGTGGCTAGTCCTTTTCCTCTGTGAGTCATCGCCCCTGCGTTGTAGACGATCTACAGGATGCTGGGCATCAGCCATTGGGGCTACAACCTCATGAACTGTTTTGGACAATTAAAAGCCATATGTCCAATGGAACATGATGTTTGACTGTCTAGACATAAGACTGGGCATTTGTGCAGAGTGTGTTTTGGTTATTAGTATCCCATCGCAAATGTAGACAACAGTAGGAATCTTGGCTGCTGACATATGTACTCCAGGTGTTCTCTAACTCAGGGCTGATACAGACTAGATTGAGCTCATTCTTAGTGCTTGTGTGTTGTATGCTGACAAGAGAGGAACATTTGTTTACTGACAGTGGTCCTCTGCCCCAGTGTTTCTCTCAGTTGGCTTATAAGAGTCTCTATGATGCAAACTCCCGTGCTGCAGGGATTTGCTGTCCTCAGCTCTGCAGAACTTGGAACTCATTCCTTCCTGCTTGTTGTTGATTGCAGCAAACCATGATTATTTGAAAGCCATCGTAGGGTTCTGCAATTTTTCAAGGACATGACTGCCACCAGCCACATGCATGTAACCAGAACACAGCATTGAGCACAGGACTCCACAGATTATCAGCTGGCCACTGCCTGGAGCACCAGCTGATATGCCATTCTGGGGGTAAAAGGCCATATGCTCCAAATGCTTTTCTCACAACAAAACCACACACACACACACACACACACACACACACACACACACACACAAACACACAAACACACAAGCAGGTGACCCTTGTCCTGAGTGTGTAGCACAGTTTGCTTGGGCCTTCTTGCTACTGCTTTTGGATATGTTGCTGAGGATTCCTTGCCAGAGAGGAAATCAGATTCTTACCATGTTCTTCCCTGTAATCCAAAGGGCCGCTCTATCCAAGCAACATTTTCCACAACACCCCCACCCCCATGTCCAGAAGTTAGAAAGCTAGAAAAGAAGCAGCTTCAGGACAGGTTCTCCACCACCAGCACCAAGTGCTGAGTTAACAAAGTACCCCTCTCCGCTGACAGCCCCACCCACCATGGGTGAGAAACAGCCCTGTGTCTTTTGGAGCAGGTGTGGAGTTTCTAAAACTCAAGAGTCATGTATGTGTTTCTGTCTTAGTGACATTTGTCTTATAGTCATTTCACTTTTTTGTTTCTTTAACATGGTCAGTTCATATAAGGTTGTGTTATGTTGTCATTTATCTTCAGTTTTCTTATTTTCTAGGAACTTCCTGTAGAAAAGCCCCCACTCCCACAAAACAAACCTTAACTGACTAAAAGGTACTGCATTCTCAACTTAGGGTAAGCACTACGGCAAAGGACGTGAACTCTACCCAGCTTGCAAGAACATACAGCTGCTTGCCAGCAGGCTTCTTGCCCTGGTTAGAGTCAGGTTAGAGTCTCTTTGGTGTGTTCTCACATGTGTACTGGGCTCTCGGGGAATTGAGATCCAAAGAGCAGGGTGCCATAAGACGGGCTAGATGAACTGGCTCCTTCCACATCACTGGACTGGCAACTCAGCTCTGAGTGTGGCCCTTGAGTCTGGCAGAGAGCAGATAAGGGAGTGATTGAACTGAACCTTGCAAAGCAAGTGCTCTTGTTTATCAGTGGTCCTTGTAGTTTCAGGAATAGCTGATGGGGTGCACTCACTTCAGAACGCTTGCTTACACACCAGCCCTTGATGCCTTCCTTTCTTCTGCCTGTATTACACAGAGAGGCATTTAGCTGATTTCTACCCCTTGACTCTTAAAAATCACAAGCAGATTGCCACTATAATGCAGAGGAAGCCAGATTGGATATGGACTCCTTTTTATGGCTCTATCAGTGTCATGTTTATTTATCCCAAGTGGATGTTATCCTCTCACTGCCTGGCACTAATTTATAGCTGTTGTGTTATGAGATGCTATGTAGCAGTGTATCAGAATATGGAAAGCATCCAGTCCTGTATAGCTGTCTGTATCAGCACACCAGGCCTTACACTTCAGTCTCAGTAGATTGAAAGCAGCAGACTGGCCTCTTCCTTCTGAAGTGGATCAGTACCACTTCTCCACGAGTCCTGATGCTTCCCCCAAATTCATGACTGAGTAGGTGGAAAATGGCTACATTTTATTCATGCTGTGTTTTGTACTCAACCTTAAAAGTAATCTACCTCTTAAAATTTGTAGTTTAATACTTGTTTGATGAATTTGTGCCACTTTAACCTTTCACTGTCATTCCCATTTTGTTACATTTCTGTTAAGGAGACTTGGTGTTAAAATACTGTATAAAGCATTTGTAGCAGTTTAAAAATAAAATATTTAAAATTATTCCAATTGTTTTGGGTGCTTCAATTGTATGCTGTGATTTACATCTTATATTTTTGTTTGCGTTGTTAACCTGGACCGTGTCTGCTGTACCGAAGTGTGCTGTTAGTTATTTCGTTGCTTCTTGTTGCAGAGTGCTATAAAGACTATTCTAACAGAAACATTAAAATTTACCATTTGACCTACAAAAGGGATTGGTCATTGATCTTAACCAATGTAGCCTTGACAGAGTTTATTACAAACATCCAAGAGTGATGTTTGCTATTTTACCCTCTTAGAATGGATGCATCCTCTGCTTGTTAGATGGCTAAGAAAGATTTTTTTCATGTTATTTAAAACACCTGATAACTAGAGGAGACTTGGATGACACACATTCTATATCATTGTAACCAATAAACACTTTGTAAACACTTGTGAAAGGACTGCATTTTGTCCGTAAGGGGGAGCAGGCTACTTGGACCTTGTTTGGTGTGTAGTCTGTGTAGTCAGCCATTGACCGGGGACCTCTCTCTACCTGTGTCTGTGTGGCGTCAACTGGGTTTTGCTAATTGCAGTTGATTCCTCTTAAGAGGGTAGACACTTAGCTGGATCAAGATTGTGGATTATGAGAACAGTTCAAAGGCCTGGGGGTGTTGTTACCTGAGGTCTCAACTGCATCTGAGCTGCCTGTAGTTTAGTTTCCAGATTGACTGCTCCCAGGCATTAATCAGAGAAGCTTGTGTTAAGTTTCTTCCAGGGGCTTTAATGTGTGTGTATAGGAGGCATTTCCTGTAGTCTGACACTCTGTCACTTCTCATCCCAGAGCCCACTATCTGGCCTTCCTCTAGGGAGGGAACTGCAGGCCTGACAACTTAAGTGTCCAAGTATTCATAAATCTACCCACCAGGTTCTAAGAAACCCAGTAAGAAGGAGGGGATGGTGATGGAAGTTGGAAATGCCTTCAGCAGTTGTTCTTGTAAATGCTGTACACAAT